AGTCACAGACTATCTTGCAGGGTATATCTGTTAACGTATTCTAACAATAAGGCCAAAAACTGAAATAATGTGTGTGACATAGTGGAGCTAAAAACTGCTTTTATAACAACTGAAAGAGAAACTGCAGTAGTAAAATGAGCTTTACGTTTTAAAATCAATACCAACGGATCTTAGCATCCCACAATACCAAGACCAACTCCCTGTCACTCAGTTGTCAAATTCCAGAGCCTTCGTGGGCAGTAGAGGCTCTGGCATTTGACACACAAATGGCAAGGAGTAGCAAGGCTTAATTTCAGCTTGGTGAAGAATTGATGCCTTGTTTACAGCCTGAGCTTAAATCTGACCATTCCCATTAAGAATTCTCTCAGTCAGCCCCCCCCAGCTGAACGAGAAAAATCACTCAATTTCCCAAGCACACTAAGAGGTCTATGCATAAAAATAATTGTTGGACAAATGTCACATGCATTTGTCTAATTGAGATGAATTTTGAAATATATTTAATTGATATATGGTATGTTTACTATATTTATATACAAATTTAAATATACTGCATTATGGCCACTAGATGGTGCTGACAATCATATGAAATAAATATATTAACCACTAGCCTACAGGGCACTTATACCCCCTTCCTGCCCAGGCCAATTTCCAGCTTTCAGCGCTGTCACACTTTGAATGACAATTGCGCGGTCATACAACACTGTACCCATATGAAATTTTTTAGCATTTTTTTGAGACAGATAGAGATTTCTTTTGGTGGTATTTAATCACCTCTGGGATTTTTATTTTTTTCTTAAAGAAACCAAAAACCACTGAAAATTTTGAAAAAAAAAAAGTTTTTTCTTAGTTTTTGTTATACAAAGCGACTTTCCATGGGGGCACCTGCTGAAGAGGAGGGGCCTAGAGCACCAGCAGGGACCCCAGAAGAAAAGGATCAGTGTTGCTCTGTGCAAAAATATTGCACAGAGCAGGTAATAGACATTATAGACATGTTTGTTATTTTTAATTAAAAAAACAACAAAAAACGAAAGGTTTACTAACACTTCAAGTAAAATATGGACTTATTTAATCTCAGGTAGATGAATCCTTGAGACAGCTGTCCAACAAACATTAAAGATATATTGTATTCTGCCAAACAATCCTTTTAAATACTACTGATGATTAGTGGACCCATATAAATCCTAATTTTTTGAATTATTTCACATATCTGTTTCTGGTAGAGACATGGGTAACTATACTGGGAATCACATAACATAACTTTCCCTTAGAATTCACACATTATTCCAACTGAATACAAATAGAAAAATGTGTGAATTCTGGGTGAAAATCATGAATAGACCCTTTTATTTGTTTTGATAGTGCATTGAAGTTTTTTCGGTCAGTTTAGTTTCAAACCAGATTTGGCAGAGTTGTCCTTTATTACTGGACACTGCTGCAGGATATATCCAAAACCTCACAAGTATTTAAAGCTGAAGTTTGGGAATTTAAATTTTTTACACAACTGCATTGGTCGAGCTTGGACCAATGTAAATATGTACAGTATGTGGCATACCTGTGGGATCCCCATAGAAGCTGGAAATCACAGTAATAAGCAGTGCTACTACAGTGATCTCCACTTGCTTGCGCATCCTGCGCTGAGCAACTGCCCTTCTGCATTGTAAACATAGGAGCTTGTTTGCTTGTGTGCCATTCAGATAACAATTTGCATTTTCTCAATGAATGGCAAGTCTTTTAGGATCATGTACACTGCAGCTGATAAATTCACATTCAGGAGCTTTTCTGCATTTTTTTTCAGCAGCCCCTGAACTCTCCCTAATGTTTTCCTATATATCCATGTACACATAGTCATTTACAGGCAGTTGAGTTTACTGTCATTGTTTTGAATGCAGCAAACTTGCGTTCAGGAGATTTTATCAGCTTGAAAAAGGAGTGTAAACGTGGCTAGCCGCATTTATAAGCATTTGTGTTTAGAAGCGTTTTTTGATTGGTCCATATCCAGGGCACAATTCACTTAGCGGTATCCTATCACATCCGAGTATGCGGTAGGATACTGCATAGCATATTTTTTAAAAAAAACCCATTTGAATCCACTAACAAAGGCTACTAAAATACTGCATGATTTTATCAAGTCATGTGGAATTTTAGTAGTGAAAAGCATGCATCATGTTTCAGCTGTCAGCTGAATGTAAAAGAAAGAATTGCCGGCAATTAAAAAATAATTTTAAAACCGGTGTGGGGTCCCCCCATCCCATCCATACCAAGCCCTTCGGGTCTTGTATAGATTTTGAGGGGAAGCCCCATGCCAAGAAAAAAAAAAAAAAATTGGTGTGGGGTTCCCCGCGAAATCAAGACCCTTATCCAAGCATGCAGCCCGGTGGGTCAAAAAGGGGGGGGGGGGGACAAGCGAGCGCGAGTGCCCCCCCCCCGAACCATACCAGGCCACATGCCCTTAACATCGGGGGGTGCTTTGGGGTAGGGGGATCTCCCCCCCCCCCTCAAAGGACCTTGTCCCCATGTTGATGAGGACAAGGGCCTCTTCCCCACAACCCTGGCCAGTGGTTGTGGGGGTCTGCGGGTGGGGGGCTTATCGGAATCTGGAAGCCCCCTTTAGCAAGGGGGTCCCCCCCATGTGAATGAGTATGGGGTATATGGTTACCCATTCACAAATGGTAAAAAAAAAAGCCGTAGTGTGGAAAAAAGACAGGAGTCATTCTTTGACAAGTCCTTGAATAAAAGAATGTCCCCCGAAGTAGATCCAACGTCAATCATGATGTCCGCCGCGGCTCAGAAGCTGGTTTGACAGTTCTTAAATATGTAAAGACCCTTAATTGAACAAGGTGTGTGTATGTTTGTGGGGGGGGGGGGCGCATTGCATTCCTTCAATAAATACATTCCTTCAATAAATACAAAGCATTCTCTGAATAAGGTGGAGATTACAAAGTACCTTCTTTGGTGCTCATGAGTGACCATTTGTGTTCACGATCCAGCCTGCAGCAGCTTGGCACAGGACCCGGAAGCTACAGCAATTTTCCACAGGGATCCCACAGATATGGCATATACATATTTACAATGGTCCAAGCTGGACCAATGTATCTATGCAAAAATTGCCATACCTAAAAACTTCAGCTCTAACATTAGACAACGTTACCCAAATATTACCGTTCTTTCTTGTTAGTGTCCAACTTCTGACCATGTCACTTGTGCTTAACCACTTGCCCTCCTGAGGATTTACCCCCTTTCCTCACCAGGCCATTTTTTGCATTATGGCACTGCGTTACTTTAACTGACAATTGTGCGGTCATGTAGTGTTGCAACCAAATGAAATTTACGTCCTTTTTTTTACCACAAATTGAGCTTTCTTTTGGTGTTATTTGATCGCCTATGCATTTTTTATTTTTTTACGCTATACAAAAACAAAAAGACAATTTTGAGAAAAAAAAAAAAAAAATATTTTTTACTTTTTGCTATTAAACATGTCCAGTAAAAAAAATTAAAAAAAAAAAAAGCAAATTTCGTCATAAATTTAGTCCAAAATGTATTCTGCTACATGTCTTTGCTTTTCATTCTAGTAATTGCAGCGATCAGCAACTTATAGCAGGACTGCGGCGGGCATTCTGACACTGGGCGGAAACTGATTTGGTGTCACTGACATCCCCAGTGATACCAATACAGTGATCAGTGCTTAAAAAAAGAAAAAAAAAAAAAAAAAGCACTGACACTGTACTAAGGGCACTGGGCAGGAAGGTGTTAACATGAGGGGCAAAGGGTTAACTGTGTGCTGTGTGCTTAATTGTATATCACACTGCTTTGCATGGCTGTGCTGTGCACATCCATCCAAATAAGTGTGCAGGAGCGGATAAGGAGAACTGTATTGTTTACATACAGTTCTCCTCCCCGTCAGCGATGCTCGGCAATCACCGGAGAGTAAGCACCGGCCAGGACCCAGTGATTGACAGCTGTGGCCACGAATTGCGGTGCAGGTAGGGCACGCACACACACGCCCCCTACTTAGAAATTCAAAATCATATGTGTGTATATATATATATATATATATATATATGTGTTTTTGTGTACCCATGCCACACTGTAGCAGTATATCTGCTATAGGGCGGTTGTGAAGCGGTTATTAACACAGTGTCACAATTGATAAAATAAAAGCAAAATATATTTATACGTTCAGGTCTGTATTTAAGAATGTTCACTGTCAGATTAAACATTGGTATTTGGTTAGTGGGAAATCATTTGTCAAGGATGATATATAATTTTTTTTTTCCTATATGTCTCAATTCAGTTGATACATATATACATCTGTGGTGCGCAATGTGAGCCATACAAGCATAACAGGCATGGGAAAAACACCGATCAGCTGACCAGAACTATGTCAGAAAACAAACCAAACAGTAATATTGGAAATTAAATGTTACATGTTAAGACTGAAGATACAAATTAATTGCTCCCCACACACATTTTCTTTTATAGAAAAAATAGAGAGTTTGTAGGTTATATACACAAGATAAACAAACAGCAGAAAATATTTTGTCAGATAGTAACAAATTAAGAAAATCAGCAAAACTGTTATAAATAAAGGCACAAAAAGCAGCACTTTTAGGTGTCAATTCCAATGACGTAAAGAGAACAGTGCAGTAATCTATAGCTACCAATAACATTTAATTCTTTATTGCTCTGATTAAATATTTTTGAAAGCCATTGATCATAGCACCTAATCAAGAATGCAGATTACTATTGCTTGCTGCCCGTATTAAAGTAAACAAAGTTTGTTTATTCCTACGCTTTGACAGTTATTTTTTTTAAAGAGTACTAAAAGGTTAAGATCTTCAATATTTAGGTAGTAAATATAATATCATGTCAGATTCTGTGCAAAATTTTGTTCACTTCTATGGCAGCATTTTGTTCTCAAGTCAGTTTTGTATTTAGTCCAATAATTGTGCTCCCATCCTTTCCATCAACAGGCAGTGTTCAGTAGCCTGTCATATAAACACTTAACAGCAGCCATTTTTGGGCGGTTTCTCATTACTGCTCTGTGAAAGATTGACTGTGTCATCTGGTCCATTGGCTTTCTTCTTCATGATCAATGGTATAACCATGTTGAAAACACTCTCAAATAGTACATCGACATTGTGTCCAGTCTTTGCACTGGTTTCAAAACACATCTTCTCTGCAGCAGGTGCGTAGCTTTCATCCACCATTCTGTATTTCATTATGCGTTTATATAGGGCATGGGCATCTTCTGAATTAACCTGCTTACGAACTTTGGAAGTACTACTGGTGCGAGGTCTTTCACCCTCAAATTCTTTATCCCCTTCATTGCCATCAGTCAGGTCAACTTTATTTCCCACCACAACAAAGAGGCAATCGCTGTTGGCTGTGTCAGTGAGGCCTAGGAAGCGGTCTTCAAGCTCCAGAAGGCTCTGCATATTGCTAACATCATAAGTTAGGATAATGGCTGAGGCCGATCTGCAGTACATAGAGCCCAGGCCATGAAATTGTTCCCTTCCTAGAAGACAATGAAAACAGAATGTAAATAACCAGGAGTATTTTTTTTTTTTTTGTATACTGCAGTACACACAGCCATGATGTTTCATCAACCACAAAACACACAAGGCAGTCCAACAGGTTCATTAAGCTATTTTTAAAATATGTTCTTTCACAGTCCCCAACACAGACAAGCACATTCAGCAAGTTGTTTTAGTTTTCCTTCAAGGCAGTATTTTTCATCCTATGATATTGGATGCCCCATTGTTCACACAAATTTTAGCAGGTACTGTTGCAACATAGATTAGAAACATTTGGCACATTTTCACAGATCTGACAAATCAAAAACTTACCTATTGTTCAATAATTGCAGCTAGAAACTACATGAGCAAAGTGCAGTAACCCATATCAACCTTAAAGAATTAACTGGACTAAGTACTGATCATTTCTTTTTGCACTGTCCTACTAAGAGGCTAAATGCACATTCATTTATACAGTGCCTGATAAGAATGCACAATGGCTTGCAAAACAAATAGGTCCTGGTGGATGGTCAGCTCTTAAAGAAAAACTAAACCCCAAGCACAAAAATGTAAAATTCTTCATCATGCATTGAGGGACACAAAAGTTCAGAAACAGTGGGGTTATACATCTGCATACAGCAGTTTGGGACTGTGGCAAAACAGAAAACGTTTAAGCCAGTCATGTAGAACCCGTCATCTAATCAGCATGCCTATTTTCTGCTAGTGTCCTAGGAGGTTGGATGGGTTTTTTTTTCACCAGTTCTGCTGAAACAATAGTCCCCTTTTTTGCTAGCTTTTAATGACTTTGTAGATTCTTTTTTTTCTTTGGGGACCTCAAATGAAGAGACTCTATACTGCTGGTTAAGCTTGTTTCTATATAGCAGCTTTCCAGATCAGCGTTTCCTCAGAACTAGTTTTGAACCCTACTGAACTGGATATGTAGAATTACCCTGGAATGTGACTTCTGGACAATGGGCTCTGCCTTGTGGCACTTTCCAGACCATTGTGTATTGTGTTAGTTAGCCACAAAGTGCTTTCTAGGTCTAGCACTGTGGGGCAGCTGCAGGTGTGACCCTGTCTCTGAAGACTCACTTATTGAGTAAGGCTGGTCAGGCTGAAGCACCAGAAGCTACCTCGCCATTTGCACTACTGGGCATCTTTTAAAATTTCCTACCACCGCTGTTTTTTTACTACAGTAAGGGTAAAGGCTGAGGCACTGAGCACTGATGTAATTTGCTTTGAGGAGTGTTACTCTGTGCTCTCTTTTTTCCTGTCATTACGTCTAGAGTAGAGGAAACACCAGCCTTCTGTTTCTCCCGCTCGTGAAGCACCACATGGATATCTGCTTTCACTCCACTGCCTGCCTACAGTGACCTGGCCACCTTCAGCTGCCTTGGTTTGAGTACTCAAGGCCCTGCATCACATTGGGCCTAGTTACTTTCCACTACACTGTGCACCATGTCTTCCCAAAGACACACAGAGGACAACTCAGCTGTCGCTGGTGACCTTGAGGTTTTGGGAGCATTTACCTGGTATCCCCACAAGGAACTGCACCTATAACCTGAAACCTGGGACCCTCCCCTCAAATCCCCATGGACTTCTCCTTGTCCCCTCTCTGTCTGTGGCCACTTACTTAAATCTTCCCTCAGAGCCTCTAGGCATATTCTGGCACCATCTCCAGCAAAGTCTAATTCACCATTCTTTACCAGTGAATCAAACCAGGCCTGTTGCCCCATTACCATTTTACCAATTCAGAGTTCTAATAGTACATTTCAAGAGAGGCTGTTTTTGGATCAATGCAGTATCCTGCAGTTGATGCTGATATACAAGGGGTCCTTTCAATCTTATTGATGCCATGCTTATCAACTTGCATCTAGAGTTTCAGGCTGCTGTTCCAGGCCTTATGTCTTGTAGAATTTCTACAGCTGTAAAGACTTCACCTTCACCCACTGTTTAAATTATTCCTCTTTATGGAATGGAAATGGGGTCCACCTGAATATTGGGGTGAGGATTCCCCCTTTGGGAAGGAATTTTTAAACTGGCCTTTGCTCACTGTAAATGCACCAATGATCCACAACATTAACTGAAATACCAACAAAGTGCTGATTATATGCTCACCTTTCAGGATTTCACTAATGGGACAGTTTAATTCCCCCTTTAGATCCCAGTTTTGGAAAAACTGGTTTGGCTCGCCGTCATCTGTTGGCAGTAACTCTAATCTGTCAAACTGTGTTAGAATGGTTAGATCCATTACAAAGGTTCCCTCCACCACGGGGCAGGACCTTGTTTAATATAGAGTGGCTAAAGCAAATGTCTGGAGCCTTGTGCTTTTAGTTGTGACTTGTTACAAGCCTAAAAATGTATGCAGAGCGGACACGGAGACAGCTCAGTATGGGCAGTCGGGTGTAAACAGACAGTTGTTGTGTTTACATTAACTGCCCTTCGATCCGTTCCACGGAGCAGAACGGATCCTCCTCCAATTGGTTTTTGCTGGATTAGATCAGAGGTAACCCAGTGTAAACAGACACAAGTCTGTTTACATCCAACTGCCCATAGAGGGGAGAATGGAGGGTCCGATCAAACAGCCTGTGTGAAAGAATGCTGCATTGCTACCTGCTTCTCTCTCCCAACAAGGGACTACTGATTGATGAGAAGTCTGTGCAACTTGGTGTGCCTCATTTACTGCATGACAGGAAAACACAGTTGCTGGCGGACTCGGTTTCCCTGATTATTTAGCAGACAATTCACGCTGAGATCATGCTGCAGGTTCTCCCTTACTAAGAACAATGTATGTCTGGAGGACTTTGCTGAACATGATCTTCTGGAGTTAGTTCCTTCTTCTGTTGATAGGCCTCCTGAGGAGGTTTCTCCTAATCCCTTTTTTTTATTCTGACCCTTCTCAGGTGAATGTTTAAAGCAGTAAAGGTAAGGTAAGGCTTCAGCCTGTGTATTCATCCTCCTGGTTGTCCTGTGTTACAGACTGTTTCTGGTTCCTTCTGGTTCTGTCAGTGACTGTTGCCCACTCCTCAGCTGGACTGCTTTTGGACATATCAACTGCTTCTGAATTCCTGTGCCCCCCTATGTATAGACAATATAAGATTTTGGTCCCTGTGTTTTTTACTGGCCCTGTGTACTGCTTACTGCTCCCACAACTGACGCATGGTGGGTAGAGAACGGGTGATACAGAGGCTGGCTTACAACATATTCTGTTTGACAATGACCCAAAAACCTGTATGAAGCAGCATAACCCAACAGTTTCTGAATTTCTGTGTCCCTCAATGGACTTGAAGAAATAGATTTTACGGTATGTATAAAAATCATGTTAAATTGCAGTTTAACAGCCCTTAGATGTAGTGGCTGTATTTGTTTTAATTTTTCAGGCTAAGAACATTTTCAGCAGATAGAGAAAATGCCTGTTGATCTTTCCAAAAATGCAGTGTCCTTGTCATTTCCTGAAAGTTGAACTTGAAGCATAAAATAATATAAACCTAATACTTTAAACACTTAAAGTGGAGCTTCACCCTCTCAATCAACAGCTATTTTTCATCCTTCTGTTGCTAGCATTAGTAAATAGATAGGAAGGTATCTCATATGTACTTGTTTTAAACTTTTCTTTACATTTCTTCAGTTCCTTCCTGGTTTCCATGCCTAGGCAAATTATGTCATACATCCCAGGAGTCTTCAGAAGGGGAGGAGGGTTTTTGTCAGCTAGGCATACCCTTCTGCCTGCTTTCCTGAGCTACGTGCAGATGGATTCCAGGAAGTAAATGGTACATGAATCATCTGCCCTTACTCAAGATGAACATGGCCAGAAATGCTAGAGGGTGTTTTTCAAAACGATTTCTCAGCAAAATAAAGCATGGAGACATGGATGGATGGGGAGTTTGCTTTGAGTTTTAAAAATGAAATTACATAGGAGTTTTTGGTTTGTGGTGCTCTGGTGCAGTGAAGTTATACTTTAATCTCCCCATTCCCATGCAATGGAGATGAACAAAGGCAAGCATGTTTTAAAAGGGACATGAAGCAATGTTATTCATGGGAGTACTAGGTGAAAATGAAGTTAAGAAAAAAAAAAAAAGCCAAAAAAGAAAGAAAACTAATACAGTCACCACATCTGAGGAATGCTAAGCTGCAATATAATAAATCTTTGTTTTTGAATTTAGTGATGCTGCACACACAGTATAGCCTGAAGTTTGTACAGTACTGAAAGCAATAGAGTACCAACATATCATGCATAAGAGAGATCTTTTCTTATAAGAATGTAAGCTTTAAACAGTGCTAAAGTTGCTAAAAGCCTAAACTGGATAGAATGGGCAAATGTCAAGGTTAGCGATTAGAAATCTCAGTGATGGATATATAAATAAAAAACAATAAAATTTGAACTAGATGGATTGTATTTGGCATCTGTCAGGTTTGTACTGCTGCAGCTATGTGGAGAGTGTATTCCCCACTTACTGTCAGACACACTCATTTATATCAGTGTATGACTGAATGTCATGGAGATGAGAAGAAAGTTGAAATTTCCTATTTTTTTTAATTTTGGGAATCAAGCATGTCAGTAGTGTGTTTAAAGCTACATCCAAACCTTCCAAAGTGGCATGAAGCTTGTTAAATGCATTGCATATGCTTGCTGAATTCAACATTTCTACAGACAACTGTATTCATGCCAAGAATGAGAAATGTCCCCATCTTTAAAGTTTTAGGAACATCATCATATGACAAATGATTTTTCATGCGGCTCTTATAAAAGAAGTTTAAAACATAGCAATCAAAATCTTGGGAGAACATAGTTATCATCAAAAAGGAGTCAGCAAAACAAATGATCCTCCATTATTTGCCTGACACAGGTGAGCATCAGATTTATTAGTCATTTGGAGCAGTTCCTCTTGTGTTTGCATGACTTTATGATCATCACGTGTAGTCAGTAAACATCAAACATCTAGTGCTCATATGTAACACTTGATTTTCACACG